CTTCCAGTGAACAGGCAGGGACAGCCCCCCCAGGGTTTGTTGACAGGCCAGGGCTTCCAGGCACTCAAGGGAGAGGGGACAGTGGCATCTGGAGACAGGGAGATGCTACTGAGAGGTGTCAAGGAGGGGCTGGATTTCTGAGGACCTGCTCAGCTGCAATCCTTGGTCTGGGGGGAGAAGCCAAGTGGAACTTCACTCCTCTGCCCCCTGACAGCACTTTTGCCCCAGGTTGGCCAGAGAGCAGCACAGGGGCTGCTCACCCCCTCCCGAGAGCCCCTGGTTTCAGCCACAGCCCTCCTGTCTCAGCAGGTGACAGGGCCCATGGGGTACCTGGAGGTGAGCAGCAGTTATCCTGCCGGTGGCACTGAAATCCAGTGACAGGACCATGGAGAAGCGTGTGGAGCTGCTGCTGTGGCTGGTGGTCACTGACCCAAAGGCTCCCAGCACCGTGAACATTGCCTGGATCTTCTCCACTGCAAAACCAGCACCAGCAGCCCCTTGAGCCACCTCCCCATGGCTGCAGCCCTGCATCACTCCAGTGCTGGCTGGGAGAGAGCCAGGCCCCACCAGGGATGCACCAGTACAGCCTCAGGGCTGGCAAGAAGCACTGGAGGAGGTTTCACCTCCTGGCTGCACCTCTGCCTGCTCCTCCCAGCACAAGGGGACCTGAAGCACCAGCTGGGGTTGGGAATAGCATCCCACGCTGCCAGAGCACATGGGCACTGGTGTGGGAGGGACATGCCACCCAGCTCCAGGCCATTCCTCAGCTCTTTGCAGGAGCATGGTGTACCCAGAGCTTGCCCAGACCTCCAAAGTCCAAGCCTGCCCCTAATAGCCTAGCAGCTCTTCCTCTCACGTCACCAGTAACTTGATCAGATGGGAAAAGTGCTGCCCTAAGCAGGCAAGTCATTCCCAGCTGGTGCTTACTTGGGTGTTTATCAAATCAGCCAGGCCGTTGGGTCTGGGATGGGTAAGAGGCAGCAGCACTCACAGCCCCTCTGCTCCTCCCACCGATGCTGCAGCCCCGCAGGGGCTCGGAGCACAGAGCCCTGTCCCCAAGACCCTGCCCTCCCACCACGGCCCCTACCTGAGACCCTGCCCTCCAGGCTGCCCGCCGTGCCCACCAGGTACTCCAGGGCACTCCGGCAGCTCTGGGTCTTGCCGGCCCCGCTGCGGCCCAGGGGCACGATGGCCTGGTCCCGCCTTGCTGGAGCCCGGGGACCTGAGGCCCGTCCCCCGCCGCTGCAGCAGCAGGGCCCGGTGGGCTCTCTGTGCCAGGGAGCAGATGTGCGGGGCTGCGCTGTCCCGCCGCCCCTTGGACGCCTGCGGGCAGGGAAGGAGCGGGAGAGCCGCAGAGTCACGGAAGTGCTCGGGTTAAAAAAGACCTGTAAGATCACTGAGCCCCACCATAACCTAACTCTACCAACCATTAACCCCATTCCACCAAGTCCAGCGCTTAAACCACATTCCTCAGCACCAAACGTCCCAAAAGAGGCTCCTTGAAGAAAAGCAGCCGACAAGGCATCACACTCAGGGTGATGGTTCCCTCCCCAGAGGGTGCTGAACCCTCCAAGGTCCCCAGGGAAAGGAGAAACATTGCCCAGCCTGGCAGCACCAGCCCTGCAGGGTCGGGGACAAACCCAGGGAACCCACGGCAGCTCCCACGAGCAGGGGCTGTGCCAAGCAGCACCCCAGGGCCCTTCCCACCCCAGCCCTGGCACCCCCAGACCGCTCAGGGCAGCACAGCGGTTTTCTCCTGGAAACCATGAAACATTCTGTGCGAGGAGCAGCGCCCAGCTGAAAGCATCCCCAAACCCTGAGCATCCTCAGGGCATCCCCGGTGCCCCCCGCGCTGTGACGGTCCCACGGTGCCACCTGC